TTCTAACTCCTTCCTGAGTGAGAGCTCTCCCAGCTCTACAGTGCCATCATACAGATGTGTTGCTTTAGGGCTGACCCCCCAAAAGCCTCCACTCTTCTTCTCACTAATAAAAGTTCTACATAATGAAGACACATCAGACTCATTTCTATTTTAGGAAAGCTTGACTTTGGCCAGATACTGCTATTCCTTCCACATTGAAAACAAGTCAGGATTAAAACACATATACAACTCACTGAGAACTACGGAGAACCCTCAAGATTGAAATTGCCTGAAATACTGAATTTGTCTGGTATTGGCACCATGATCTTTCTGGTTGGCACTTTATAGCTTCCAGAATCAAATAAATCAATGAAACAAAAATTATGCTCCTTTTTATGATGCAAGTGCCTTTTGTGCTCCATTCCCCTCTTCCCTTCCTGCTTCTGATAAAATGCTGAAGATGATGAAGAACCTGATGGCTTGTCAGTCAGCACTGCTGGCTCAAGGATTTTAGGCCCTTAGTATACTAGTAAATAAGTTTGCTGGACAAAAAGCCTAGAACCACGGAACTGCTCTACGCTGGGTGCATATACAGGTGCAATGAATTCAAAGCAATAAACTCTGGAGTAGTTTGAGCCAGAGTAAACTACTTCTGGGCACAGCATCTACACGTTCACCCACGACAGCAGCAATTTGAGCTGGGGTGGAGCAGTTTACACCAGGGCTAGGAGCATGGTGGGTCAGCCCTGGGCTCCAGGTGGAGGCAGAGGGCAGCAGAGAGGCTGGCTGGGGCACAAGGGTGCTTAAAGTATGCAGCTGTGTGGCTAGGCAGCTGGCAGGAGTCTCGTCCCCTGCTAGCTGGGGACTGGGTGGACTTTATTGCATTTAAATCATAGTTAATTACCCAGCTGTAAGATACCTTATGATAATGTTAATTAATTTATTGTGCCCTAATAGCATCGCATGTGTAGACGGTGACACTTTACTCCTAAGCTAATTAGTCTACTTTGCAGTTAAGTGCACATGTAAATGTGGCCACTGAGAACAAAATTCAGCTTCATTTTCAAAGATGGTCACAGCTCTACTTGACTTCATGGTAACATGCATGCCCCTAATGATTCTGAAAATTCTAGCTATAGAGAACCAACCAGAGATGGATTATTACCTGAAAGGGGCTCATCCTGCTTCAACTAAAGCCAGTGGAAAACCCCCATTGGTTTTAATATGACCAAGATCAGGATTCAGAAATACTGATTAAACAAGACTTTTAGAGATCAGTGGTTCTCAACCTTTGTAGACTTAAAGCAATCCTCATTAAATTCCAAAACTTTTGAATTGAGCATCATCCCATTTCAAAAACGAATGTATTACACCATTTACCTTTTTGGAGAGGGGGTAGGCAGTGGAGGCATACGAGCAGACAGGCAGGGAAAGCCTGCTTTTATCTGCTTATCTCATCATACTTCATTTATCTCCTCATGCTTCCTGCATTACCCTTCAAAAGATCTTGTGGCAACCCTCCCTGCCCCCGCCCCATCCTGGCTGAGAATCACTGCTTTAAATGGTGAATGAAGTGTCCCCAGTATATGGATCAAGAAACATCTGTCTGTCTGATACAAAATAAGCTGATTGCTATGCTGAAAATCCCATCTGGACCATTTTTCTGTGTTGGCCAGTAACCACACACATGCTTTGTTGACTTCAGACTGAAACCTCCTAAACAATCTAGAGTAGCTAGAGTGCTACCACTGTGCTTCAGCATTTGAAAAGTGCAGCAGGAACTACAAAGATAAAATTGCCAGATACAGGAGGAAGGGAAACAGTTTTGCACCAGAAATTGTACCTGAGAGAGGAGTACTGATGTAGGGACTA